GGGGCGGGCCCGGATGGGGAGCGGACGCGGTGGGGGCAGGCGCCTGGGAGGCCGGCTGCGGCGGGGTCGGGGTCTCCGAGGTGCGGAACCGGAGAGTTAGAGATGGAGGCATCCGGGTCCCCCTAGTGGGTCGGGGCCCCGCCGGGGCGGGATCCACAGAGTTAGAGACCGGGGCGCTTGCGGGGGTGCCCCGGATCTGCTTGCGGAGGAGTCTGGGCCACCGGGCGGAAAGGTTGCAAAGTGGCTGTCACCGCGGTGCTGCTGGCTGAGTGGCGTCCCCGAAGCTTAGGATCGCCGCCCTACTTCTTTCTTTCACGATCGAGAGTAGCGGTGCATTTGCAAGACTGAGTTCGCTCGCGCGAGCGAAGGCGCAGGGTGCCCGCCGCGGCCGTCTGAGTTCCAGCTGGACACTGTCCTCTGGTCCCCTTTATGCAGGTCCTTGTCGCGCACGGGGCTCCCGGGACGAGGTGCTAGTGCGGGTCGCACTTGGGTGCTTCCCGAGCTCGGGCACTGCTCTCGGCAGTTCTGTTTCCCTTACTCCCAGGCTAGTACAACTTGTCCTCATTTCACAGCCAACGAAAAGGAAGTACTGTGTGTGACAGGTGCTCTTGTCCCCTGTCCGAGGACACACAGCTGGGGGGTGGCGGAGGTGGAATTGCTGAAGAGCTCTTGTGCTCTGAGTCAATATTTGTCCAGCGGCCCAGTGGCTCCCTTGGGGCGGACAGGCGGCTGCGTGGTTGCCAGGCCTGGCAAGTGAGCTGGGGTTGTTGCTGAACGCTTCCGGGCAGAGCCACCCACTCCCAGGCCCGTAGTGCAGAGGCCCAGGGCTTTGAGCGTCAGGGACAAGGCTTCATCCAGAGCTTCCTCAGGCCCGCTTCATTTTCTTCTTTATTTTTTTCTAATGCCTTTTTGAGACAGAGTCTTGCTATGCAGCTCAGACTACCTCACTTTGTAGTCCAGGCTGGTCATGCACCTGCAGTGATCCTCCTGCCTCAGCCTCCTGGGTGCTGGGATTACAGAGGTGCACCACCACGCCCAGCTAAATGTTTTTATTCTGATGTAATTTTTTTTTTCGGGACCCACCTTCTGATTGAGGCTTCCACTTATTGGCTCCTCAGAGAGGTCATGTTATGTGTCCAAGATCCTTCACCTTGTGGGTGGCTGAGTTAAAAGTGGAAGCAGGGCAGCCATGCCCCGGAGGGCAGCTGTGACCCCACTGTGACCAGGCCTTAGCTTGGGGACTTGTGCAGCCTCTCTAGGCTATGGGAGCTCGGGGACCGTGAGGGCAGGGGCCTCTGTCTGTCAGGCTGTGGCGGGGCATGTGGGGCTCCTGAGGCATCTGGCTGGCACAGCAACCCTCCCAGTGGCCTAGCCTCCCTGCCCCATGCAGCACAACCCAGGCCGGGGACCACTGGTCCCTGACTGTACACTAGGTGGGCGCGCCGGCCTGGCTCCCTTTGCTCAGGACCCTCTCTCTCCAGCTGTGCAGGGTCTGTGCGTCCTGGGGACGGCGTTGGCCAGCTCTTCTGGTGAGCCCTCCTGGCCTGCTCCAGGTGAGTCTGTCCCTGGGGGAGGCTGGGCTGCAGGGTACCCATGGCAGCCTCCTGCGCTCTGACCCTGCCAGAGCATCAACAATTGAGGAAGGCTGGCCCACAAATATGGCTGAGGAAAACAGTGAGGGTGACAACAGAGAGAGCACCTGGGGGAAGGGCACATGGTGCCACAGTGGCAGGTGACCCAAGGGCTCCCCACTGAGGCCTGCATGAGGGGAGGAGCTGGCTGGGCAGAGAGGCTTCGGGCACAGCAGGTGCAGAGTCCGGAGTCTTATGGAGCCTGGAGGGAGCAGAGGGCGGGAGCGGGAGGGGATGGGAAGGCACCCGCAGGACAGCTTGCAGCCACAGTGTTGATTTCCCTCGTGACACAGTTGTGGCGCTGTTCGTGGCGCGTGCTGCTGGACTTCCCCGGCCAACCTGGCCCGAGGGGCTGTTACTTCCACATACCTGGAAGCTGGAGGTTATTATGGTTTCATCATGTGAACGGTGCTGGTCCACAGTACCCTGGGAGGACCTTTGGTTCTGGGTGTTCCCAGGCCATGCTGGACCCCTCTCAGCATGTTGTGTGTGGCCAGAGCCAGTCTGGAGCCCGAAGCTCTGCCTTTGGGCTGCCCTATTCCAGACCTCCTTCGGCCCTGGGGTAGTGTCACCCCAGTTTGCAGCCTGGCCCTTATCCACTGCTGCCTTCCTAGGAGGAATAGTGAGGATGGGAGCTGCTCTGGCTGCAGGCTGAGACCTGCTAGGGTGGTAGCATGCCTGGGCTGTGCCATGGGCCCGTGTGTGCCCCCAAGTGTGTGCCCCCAAAACGCACACATGGAAACCCCAGCCCAGAGTCACTGCATTGGGTGTGGGCCCTGGGAGGTGGCCTGGACCCCTGGGAGGAAGGGAGACTGGTGGGGCAGCATTTCCCGAGAACCTGTGGTGGCCCCCGGCAGGTGGGTGCCTCCTGACGGGAAACCAAGGTTTGGGTGCCCTGGGACACCCCTCCCTGCACCTTCACCTCTGCATTTGTCTTCACAGGACCCATGGAGCCCTCTGCACCCCTGCCTGTGAAGCAGGAAGAGCCGGCCCCTGAGGGCCTGGGCCTGGCCACAGAGACGCAGGACTCACCGGCTCTGGATGTGCCAAACCCAGACTCACCCTGGCACCGCTTCCGTCACTTCCAGCTGGGAGCTGCACCTGGGCCCCGGGAGGCTCTGGGGCTGCTGCGGGCATTGTGCCGCGCCTGGCTGCGGCCAGAGGTGCTCACCAAGGAGCAGATGCTGGAGCTGCTCGTGCTGGAGCGCTTCCTGAGTGCCCTCCCGGCCGGCATCCGTGCCTGGGTGTACAGCCGGAGGCCACGCAGTGGAGACGAGGCTGTGGCCTTGCTGGAGGAGCTCTGGGTGAGCTGAGAGTAACCAAGTCTGGTGCGGGGCTGGGGACACAGGGTAGGGGGCTGGGGCCCGAAGGGTCCTCCTGTGGAGGTGTGGACCTGCTGCCCTGGCTGGGAGAGACACCCAGCAGCCCCTGGTGTGCAGCCACCTCCATCCTTGGAGTCACTGGGACCCATACCAGGCCCTGCCCTGTCCCTCTGGCCCAAGGCCTGAGCAGAGATCCCCTCCATGGGGCGCCACAGCCTGCTTCTTGGAGGCCTGGTGGATCTGCCACAGCGAGAGCCTTGCTTCTGCAGGGGACCGAGTCTGAGCCACCTGTCCCCCAGTGCTCCAGCAGCCCCCGCCAGAGGTGTCGGGGGCAGGGATGTGGCTGTGTCACCTGCCATGCTAGACACGTGCCCCTCAGCACAAGCTACAGCCGCCATGTTCCCTGGACAGCAGGAGAGGGCAGGTGGCGCTTGGACTGAGGCTGCTCCCGGGCACAGGCCAATGGTTGGGGGACACTGAGGCCACCAAGGTGGTGGCCAGTGAGGAAGCAGAGGCAGCATCCGCTGTGCTGGTGCCGTGAGCACAGCTCCACAGCCCGGGGTGGCTTGGTGGCTGGACATGCGTTCTCCTTCCCATGGAGACAGCTGCTGCTTGTGACACCCACAGCCCTGCTCAGATTGGGGTCCCTTACCCAGGGCCTGCCACTTCCTTGCCCCTCGTTCTGACTCTGTCTGCTTCCCCCACTCCTCAGACCTTGGTTGCCTGTGTCTCCTGTTATTTTTGTTTTTTTCTTTTTGAGACAGGGTCTCAATATGCAGCTCAGGCTGGCCTTGAGCTCACTTTGTAGCCCAGGCTGGTCTCAAACATGCAGCAACCCTGCTGCCTCAGCCTTCTTAGTGCTGGGGTTACAGGCATGTGCCACCACGCTCAGCTCTTCTATCACTTGTAAATATTGTCTGTGATACCCTGGGCTTGGCCGGATAACCTGGGACAAATTCCCTGACTCATACCTGCAAACTGTGGCCACAGCCCCCAGATTGTGGCACGAGGGCAAGGACAGCTTTGTGGCCCCTGGGACGTGGTGACGGGGGTGGAGCTGAGCCAAGGGGAGCACTGCTGTGGCCAGCACCTCTTTCTGATCTCCTTTCCTAAGAGTAGGTCTGGGCTTGGAGCCCAGGCAGCGGCAGCCGCGAGCTGCCCAAGTGAAGCTGAATCTCCGGTAGCTGATGGAGACCCACAGTGACCTACAGACAGGACCTTGGGTCACAGCATGCGGGCATTGGCTGCCCGGGCCCCTGTGCTGTGGCCGGGGACCCCGAGCTAGGGTGGATGCTGCCGAGGCGCTAAGTCACCAGCTGCCCTCTGTGCTCACAGCAGGCCTAGGGCAAGGAGAGCAGGGCTACTGTGTCAGAGGAGGCCCTACCACAAGGCGAGGGTTCTGGACATGCAGGGCTGCAGTGACGTCACTTTTTTCTGGCACATAGTTCTTGGCCTCTTGTCACACCATCGATGCCAAGTGGTGCCTGTCCCATGGCTCTGCCTCAGGGGCTGTCATGTGATGGGTGAGTGGGTCCCACAGGGAACAGCCTCTGGGACAGTTTCTTTCCTTTTGGGCGATGCCTCAAGAGTCCTGGGTATGTGTCTGGGCCTGGCCCGCCTCAGCTTGGGGTCCCGTTGTCCCATCCAGCTCCCCTCTGAGGGTGTGGCTGCTGTGGATGCCTGGGAGGCTCTGCATGAGCACAGGCACTTACTGTCCCCACGCACAGCGGCTGGCCTCACGGTGGCTGCTTGACAGTGGCCTAGGCAGGGCCTGGAAGCAGCAGCCGTGTGCTCCTCACGGTCTCAGAGGCAGAGCAGTTGTGGTGCAGATGCGGCGTCTGGGGTGGGCCTGGTTTCTGATCACAGGGCTGTGCTTAGTCCTGGAGTGGTGAGGGAGGAGGGGACTCCAGTCCCTCCCCATCACCTGGACTCAGCCCACAGCAGAGTCTTTGGCACTTTGCTTTTTGTGTTGTTTTGTGACACTGGGGAGTAAATCCGAGGGTTCTGAACAGATCTAGCTGGGTGCTAGCTCACCCCTGAACTCGTGCTGCGAGAGTGAGAAGTGGACAGGCACCCAGCACCGAACACATCGCTTCATCGGGAATGGCACAGCTGGGCACTGCAGAGACACGGGCAGCGCTTTCTGATTATTATTCAGAGACCAGGCCTTGCAGAGGCTCCATTGTCCAGGCAGGCTAGGCATGGGCTTGCGGCCTTCCTGCCTCAGCCTCCCAGAGCGAGTGCGGTGACCGCAGGCCTGAACTGCCGCGCCCGGCACTTCTGCCCTCTTCCTAACTGGCTCCTTGTTTCTTGCTAGTGAGCTCCGATCGCCATTCACATATTCTGGGTACAAGTCCCCTGGTCAGGGGTTAAACTTTTCAAGTGTTTTGGGACTGTGTGCTGCAGGGCTGGGCACACAGATGCACGCCCAGGCCCAGGCCCTCTGCAGTCTGCCCTCTGAGCCGGCGGCACCAGGTGCTCAGCCAGGACGTGTGTGGGCTCCTCTGCAGAGTACAGCTCCTTATGTGGGCGCTTCCTGCTGATTCTGGGCATTACAGTGTCCTTTTAGGTAAAACACTAGGTGGTCATCACTCCTGCTGCCAGTGGACACATCTAGTGGGACAAGGAATCCCTTCCACCACAGCACTGGGGGGTCTTGCTGGTGCAGAGGCTCTGCAGGGTCAGCCGGAGTCCCTGGGCCCACATGCTGAGGACCGCTCTGGGGGAGGGTGCGGCTGCTGCCTGGTCCAAGGACAGGAAGGCCCCAGCCAGGCTGCCTCAGGTCAGGGCTGACGCGATCCTGACGCTTTAGCCAGGCACAAGGGAGCAGCGCAGAGTAGCCGGTAAGTGGAGGGTGGAGGTGCTCGAGAAAGCAGGTACTCCTTGATGAATAAACCCCCGAACTCGTGCTGCGAGAGAGTGAGAAGTGGACAGGCACCCAGCAAGAACACATCGCTTCATCGGGAACGGCACAGCTGGGCACTGCAGAGACACGGGCAGCTCATGCAGCACAGGTCTGGAGGACAACTGGGTTTGGGAAAATAGAAATCACCAAAATTGCTCATAGAGAGGCTGCTGGAGAGCAGACACCAGGGGGGAAGATCAAACCAGTGACAAAGGCTTTCCACAAGTGGCCCCGGCCCCAGCAGGTTCATGTCAGGCGCCACCTGACCCGCGGGATATGGACAGTTCTCAGCCTCACGGACCCTTCCAGAGGACGAAGAGAAGTGGTACCAGCTCACCTGCAAGACTGGAAAGCCCCTCTGCAAAACCAGCCAAGCCACCAAAGGCCAACCCAAGAAGATCCAGCTGGAGGTCCGTCCTAGGAAACAAGACTCCCAAGTGGAACATGAGCTGCCAGAGTCCTGCCGGGGGTCTGTGCGCTAATTCATGGCACCAGGCAGCATCAGCTCAGGACTGCAAGGAAGTTCTGGCCCCAGGAAACGCCGGTGAAGGCACAGACCTAGAGCTCGAGAACAGGGCCAGAGCTGCTGGGTGGGCCACCTCCCGGCCGGGGAGGGCACATGCAGACCCCAGTTCCTGGAGGGGCCAGGAATCTTCCAGCAGCGATGGCGTGTGACTCGGCTAGACTTCTGGCCACGGTCTCAGTGTGCACGCAGGTAAAATGTGAGAAGCGGGAGTTGTGTGTGGCTCCAGGCCCGGCTGGAAGAATTCCAACTGTCTTCACAGGGATGTGGTTTTGGGGACAATGGAGACAGTGGAAAGACACCAAAGCCTCAGTCTGAGCTCAGCTTCACCCTCGTCTTCGGCTGGTGCCAGGGCCATCCACCATTGGCTCTAGGACATTCCGGTGCTCAACTTTGTTTTTCTGAGTTACATGCAGTTTACCTGCTGTCCTGCAATTAATCCAAGGGGCAGCAAGGAGCTGTAGCGCACGTCAGGGCTGATGGGTGACTCGGTTACCTGCTGCTCTGGAGCAAATCCCTGAGACTAGAGTTTAAGGCAAGGAAGGCTTAGGTCCACCAAGCCACCACGGGCCTGGTGTGGGTAGGTTTGTGCAAGGCCGATTCTGGCTCTCGAGGTCCCAGTGACTGGTGGCATGGCTGTTGTCTCCTGCAGGCTGGCCGCAGGGGCCGGAGGCCTCCCCACTTGTGGCTGGAGGTGGGGGCAAGGGAGACACTGACTCACCCTAGAATGTGCTCTCATTTCAGGGGCCTGCAGCCTCCCCGGATTGGTCCTCAGTCATGAGGGCACCTCAGGATGTGACAGAGGGCGCCGGGCTCAGTGTTGGAAAGGAGGATAGCGAGGCCATTCCCTTTGGTGAGCAGCTGGCCCTTGCCCACACCTTTGCTGTCCCTTGCCCACACTCTTGCTGTCCCTACAGCAGGGCCCCTTCTCCTGCACCACCCACTCCCAGAGTCAGAGATGACTGCTGTGCCCGTTCTTGGAGCTGCTGGTTAGGGGGCCCAGCCTAGAGCAAGGTGGTCACAGGAAGCCTTGCTACGGTGGGTAGTGGCCATGCCTCCTGCTGTTCATCAGAGCTTGTGGCCGATCTGCCACCTGGGTTGTGTGGCTGCAGGTCCTGAAGATAGCAGGACCAGGACCGTCAAGGAGCCAGTGGTGACCCAGCCAGACTGGAGGGCCGGGCCCAGAGCCTCACACCCCGACACGACAGGCTCCAGTAGCCTGGTCACACCAGCCAGGCGGCACCCAGAGCCGGCTGTGGCGTCAGTTCCCGGGTGCAGAGGCGGGGATGGGGGAGCAAATGGGGGAAGGCCCTGCAGAGAGGGAGGCAGTGCCCTGGCGTTAGGAGGGGGGAGGCCTCGGGGCAGCAGGGGCGCGGGGCTGCAGACCCGAAGCCAAGGCAGGGTTGCGGTGCCCTGGCCTCCGCAGAGCAGAGGGAAGCCCGCCTCCTCAGTGACTGCTGGGCTGCGCCTACCCGCTCCGCCCTACGGTCAGCCCAGCCACGGCGCAGCTTCCTGCGGGGCTGTGACCTCCCCGCCCCCGCCGGCTTCCGCACCCACCCGTCAGTGGCCGTCCCTGTCCACGCGCTGCGCTCCGCAGGTGTGCACCTCACACCCTCCCGTGGCTGCTTCACGCCTACCGTGCCGTGTGATGGGCACTGCGTCCCCAGGCTCTGTGCGGCCCCCGCCCCCGCCTCTTCGCTGCTCCCCGCTAACCTGCTCAGAGCCGCACCTGACCTCACGTTTTTCCCTGTAGGAGTCGTACGCCCCGGCGCGGAATTGCCTGCAACAGGAGACGCCTGGCAGCCCAAGCAGGAACCCGACAGCCCCTCACCAGCCACCCCGGGCGCCCCAGGGGTCCCCTGCCCTGAGTGTGGCCAAACTCCGGCGCGCGCGCAGCGGCCCCAGCGCGAGAAGCCACACGCCTGCCCCGAGTGCGGCAAGGCCTTCCGGCGCAAGGAGCACCTGCGGCGCCACCGCGGCACGCACCCGGGGGCGACAGGGGCGGCGCGGCGCCACCCGG